CTTATCCTTCTACTAAGGCTCCATCTCAGAACAAAAGAGGCTTTGTGCATATGTACATGGATACCCCAGTCTGTACATTCAAACCCCCCTCTCTCCCGGCAAGCAGCCACCCCTTGGTCATCCCTTTGGTCTAAGGGGAGGTGTACCCGCAGCATGAAGAGGCCTGCTTAGGTCCTAGAAACAGGCACAGAATGACTAGATAGGGAACTCCAGGGTCCCACGTTCCCGGTGGGCACCATTTCTTTGTGTCACAAACTTCTCACCCTTTGGAAAGGGTATGACTAGGGAAGGTCCAGAGAGGGAATTTCTAAAGCATGAGACACAAGGCAGCCACTTCAGTTGCCCAGAGCTAAGGGTGGCACTATATACTGGTAAATCCAAATGAATGTTTGCTGTATAAAATATTAATAACTTGGGGGAATAAGTGAAACAGGATAGCATAAAAACATGACAACTATATTATTTACATATATAGCATAATATAGGAGATTATATATATATATATACATACATATATATACATATATATATGTAGAAGTATATATAGAAGTAGAAGGATATATATATATGTATGTATATGTATATAGATAAATCGATTAGGAGATGAAAAAATGAAATTAATAAATTAAAGTCTTCCGAGGCACCTGGGTGTCTCAGTTGGTTAAGTGTCTTCCTCTTGATTTCATTCAGCTCAGGTCATGATCTCACAGTTCATGGGATCAAGCCCTGAGTAGGGTTCTGCATTAACAGCACGGAGCCTGCTTGGGATTCTCTGTCTCCTCCTCTCTCTCTTCCCCTCCCCCCACTCATGCTTGCTCACTCTCCCTCTCTCTCTCTCTCTCAAAATAAATATTAAAAAATATATGGACTAAATACATGGACTAAATGATTCAATTAAAAGGCAAAGATCATCAGACTGGGAAAAAGATCCAAATATGCTATTTACAAGGACACAACTAGAACATAATGATACAGCAAGTTTGAAAACAAAAGGATCGGAAGGGCGCCTGGGCGGCTCAGTCGGTTAAGAGTCCGACTTCAGCTCAGGTCATGATCTCATGGTTCGTGGGTTTGAGCCCCATGTCAGACTCTGTGCTGCCAGGCTCAGAGCCTGGAGCCTGCTTCTGATTCTGTGTCTCCCTCTCTCTCTACCCCTTGTCCACTCACACTGTCTCTCTCTCTCTCAAAAATAAACATTCCAAAAAATTTGAAAACAAAAGGATGGGAAAGATATGCAATGCCAATACTAAGCAAAAGAAAATATGTTTAACTAATATCAGACAAATAATACTTTCATTTTTTTAAAGTTTTATTTATGTATTTTGAGAGAAAGAAAGAGAGACAGCGTAAGTGAGGGAAGGGTACAGAGAGGGAGAGAGAGAGAATCCCAAGCAAGCTTTGCACTGTCAGCGTAGGGCTTGAACTCACGAAACCTGGGATCATGACCTGAGCTGGAGTCAAGAGGTGGTAGCTTAACCAACTGAGTTACCCAGGCACCCCAAATAATACTTTAAAGCAAAAAGCATTACCTGTAACTAAAATGGTTCATTCATAAAAGGTTCAATTCAATAGGAAGATAACAAATTTACATCTCTATCATCATTTGGTAAAATTAAAATAAGAAAGCCACTAAGGATATAGAATATTGAATGACACATTTAACCAACCCGACTTAAAGACCATGTATGAACTCTCCACTCCATTTGGAGTACTTATGAAAACCAAGCCATACAAGAAGTCTCAAAAATCTTTTACTGAATTAGGGAAAGGAAAAGGAGCATATTCCCTGACCATAAGACAACTAAGCCATGATGAAAAGTTAAACTGTTATTTAAGAAATAACTTAGAGGTCAAAGAAGTCTCATAACATATATTAAAAAATATTTGATTTGATAATATAGTAAAAACACTATTTCATAACATGTGGGGTAGAGCTAAATATCTTTAAAGTTTACATTTTAAATGCATATATTAAAGGGGCCCCTGGGTGGCTCAGTCAGTTAAGTGATTGACTCTTGACTTCAGCTCCAGTCACGGTCTCCGGTTCCTGAGATGAAGTCCAAGTCGGGTTGTGCGATGACAGGGCAGAGCCTGCTTGGGATTCTTTCCCTCCCCTTCTCTCTGCCCCACTCCTGCTCATGCTTGTGCATGTGGGCTCGCGCTCTCTCTCTCTCTCTCTCTCTCTCTCTCTCTCTCTCTCTCAAATTAAAGAAATAAAAACTGTGGGGCACCTGGGTGGCTCAGTCAGTTAAGTGTCCAACTTCAGCTCAGGTCATGATCTTAAGTTTCTTGGGTTCAAGCCCCACGTCAGGCTCTGTGCTGACAGCTCAGGGCCTGGAGCCTGCTTTAGAGTCTGTGTTTCTCTCTCTCTCTCTCTCTCTCTCTCTCTCTGCCCCTCCTCTGCTTGCACTCTGTCTGCATCTCTCTCTCTCAAAAATAAATTTAAAAAAATTTTTTTAATTTAATAAATTTAAAATAAATAAAACAAATAAAAACTTTAAATGTACATTTTAGAAAGAAAAAGCCTTAAAATTAATGAGTTAAGCTTCTTCTCAAGATGATTGAAAAAAAAACCCAGCAAATTAAACCCAAAGAATTAGAAACGAAATAATAAAAATAAGTGCGTAAAATAACGATGCGGAAAAAAGACTTAAAGGTTATAACATAGCCCACGTTGGTCTTTGGCAAGACAAAATTCTGGCAAAATTAAGAAGAGGGGAGGGAGGGAAAGGGGAAAGAAAAGAGAGAGTGGGTGTCAGCAAATAACCAATGGAAAGAATTTAAAAAGCAACATAACTGAAAATGCTATAAACATACAAGATTAAAGGATCTTAGGAATAACTTTATTCAATAATTGTGAAAATCTAGATGGAAATGGGCAAATCCCTATGCAAAGCATACACTTAACCAAAAAGGAAAAGAAGAAATAGTAAACATGAATAGATGCATAACCATTAACAGTCTCAACATTTTCCCAAAGACAAAGAAAAGTCTGGTCTCAGATGTTTTCACTGGTGATTCGATCAAAGGTTTAAAAAACAAGAATTTCAGTCTCACAGTAACTCCAGGAACAGAGACAGAGTACAGCCTGACTAATTTTTACCAAGCTGGGATAACCCTGATGCCAAAACCTGACAAGGAAAGTCCTCACATTTTTACCCATTTTATAAATCGAATGAAACTATTTACAGAAGTCTCTGCAATGCCCACAGAATTGTCTAGCAGCAATTTCAAATCTTGTAAACTGAGGTAATTTGAGTAAATCAGGCACAAAAGGAACCATTCCAAATTTCAGCAACAAAACGTTTTGAAAATAAAGTCACCAAGAACTAAAGAAAGCAAGGCTGTAAAGAGAGCAACGACCACTCATGTGCCCCCAAACACGCATGTCCTAACGATGACAGAAACTCGGCTAACTGGTAAGTGCAGTGTATGGCCTCCAAAATGGCAGCTCTGCGTCTCATTTATCATAGCATGAAGTCAACTCAATGGGGAACCATATGGCATGACTGTAATATGAACCGTTCACATCTCTAGAAGCAAATGGAAGGACATGATTTGTCTGGTTTTTACACTGCAAAATGATTTCCTTAATAACCATTAAGTGCTTTCTAGTGCGGGGGGGGGGGGAAGCTTTATTCAATAAAACAAGTTAATCAATATCAGATGTGCAAGATTAGAAATAAATTGTACACTTAAAGTAAACAAATATTCACAAAATTCTGTGAAAGGTGTTATACTTTTCAGCTCCTTCGGTCACATCTCCAAATTTCTCCACTGCCCTACCTGCAATCTACCATCCTCTTGATGACCCATGTGTGAATTACCCAAAAGAAAGAGAAGGCCTGCTTTGTCTCTCCCATCACTCTTCAGGCTCCTCTCCTGGTGCACAGTGAGTATGTTTAACAAAAGCATGCATGCTAGAGCCAGCCACCTGCCTTCGAATATAGGCTCCAGCACTTATGGTGTAACCTTAATCTGTTCCTTAAGTTCTCTGGACATCAATTCTTCATCTATGGGGCACAAGGGTGGTTCAGTCGGTTAAGTGCTCGACTCTTGGTTTTGGCTCAGGTCATGATCTCGCAGTTCATGGGTTCAAGCCTTGCATCAGGCTGTGTGCTGACAGCTTGGAGCCTGAAGCCTGCTTCAGATTCTGTGTCTCCCTCTCTCTCTGCCTCTCTCTCGCGCGCGCTCTCCCTCAAAAAATAAATAAACATTAAAAAAATTTTTTTTAAAGTTCCGTGTAGAAGAGTTGGGGGCAGAAATCTGGTTGGGAGGAGCCTTGGAAGCTTCATGGGCCCAGCACTTTAGGTAAGAAAGAGATCGTTCAGGGGCGCCTGGGTGGCTCAGTCAGTTGAGTGCCTGACTTCAGCTTAGGTCATGATCTCACAGTTCATGAGTTGAGTCCCTCATCAGGCTCTCTGCTATCAGTGCAGAGCCCACTTCGGATCCTCTGTCCCCTCCTCTCTCTCTGCCCGTCCCCTGCTCATGCTCTCTCTCCCAAAAATAAACATTTTTTTAAAAAAGAAAGAGAATATTCAGTATTCTGAATTTAATTGGTTAATTTAATTAAACCATTTAATTTAAATGGTTAAATGCATGAGAAAGAAAATTTACTGGAGACAGGGAAGCCAGTCCAGGGAGAAGGAAAGGGGAAAAGAGTGAAACCAAATCCCAAAGAATGCTCTAGAAATGATCGTTTTCCTTCCACAGATTTTATGGTACCATGTAACTTCAAAATCTGTACCCATTACTGAAAGTTCTCAAAAAACAACTGCATTAGCAAGAAGAAATGGGTCCACAGTAGAATCCCTGAGGAAAAGACAATGTCTGCCGAAGAAGGCTCCAAGTGGGAGTGAGGAGCTCAAAACCAAACGGAATACAGTAGTTAAGGGGATGAGAATTTGCAATGAAGGGAGGTCATTTGAGAAAAAAAACAATAACCACCAAATACGTTCATTATTTCTACAACATTATCACATAGAAATAGCCTCACTCACCTGACAGGAAGTTCAAAAGAAAAGATGGAGAGACTCTGCACAAATCTGAAAATGAAAAAAAAAATTTCGATCAGTGGTAAGTGGGTCTTCTTGGCACCATAATGCATCAAGCTACCATCAGCCCATCCGCCATGGCCCACAGAACCCCCTGCTACATACCAGGGCTTAAACTTGGAAGCAGAGTTAACAAAAGAAATGGAGGAAGCAAACCCTGCTCTTAAGGAACACATTTTAAACTGGAAGACCAGCCCAAAGCCAGTGCTGGGGCTGACCGTGTTAATGTTTTAGTAGCGGTCACTACTCAGTCTCAGGCTTCATTAACGGTATCACAGGAGCACTGGATAATGAAGTGGCCGGATCTGGGGGGAGGTAGTTCCTTCTAGAGCCCATGCTTTGTTAGATATTCCTTCGTGATTTTCTGACTGAACTTCCCTAGAACATAAACTCCTTGATATCAAGAACGGGGTCATTTAGGTGTCTTGTGCCGACAAAGCCAGAGGCTTTTCTTTCTCCATAGAGGAGCCACATAAATAACCCTATTGACTGTTACGTTGGCTCAGAGTTGGAAGGGGGATATGGAGGTCCTGGCAACGACCTGAGAGAGGGACAAGGCAAATGCACATCGGCGAAAGGGAAGAGTATGCCCACCCAAGGCAGAGTGCACTGTTGACAAACTGACTTGTATCTTACGGAATGTTCCATTATGCTTTACTTCAAAACCAAAACACTGATATAGCTATTAACTCGAAGAGGATACTCACTTCACACAGTGGTATCCCCTCCTGTGAATTACAGGCATAATGATTTTCAAAACAAGACTTGCAAGAGGAAACAATCTATAGGTAATCTTGGAACCAAGTGACCTACTTCTGGCTTCTATCAACAGGCATAAGTTCAATGCTCAACGAAGAATCCAAGATATGAATTCAAAGAAGAAATAAGGAGTCATGGTGAGTTTCTATTGATCATGATAGGTTCTTTTAAAAAAAAAAAAAGTAGTACTTGGGACACCTCATGGCTCGGTTGGTGGAGCATGTGTCTCCTGATCTTGGGGTTGTGAGTTCGAGTCCTACATTGGGTACAGAGATTACTTAAAAACAAAATCTTAAAAAAAGTAGCTCTTAATAAAATCTGACATGTCAGAAAAACTTCATTAAGCAATGTTTAAAGAAGACAAAAACGAAGGCCAAGCATGTCATCCTGTCCTAGGATGAACAAATTGCAAACACATGGCCCAATGCTCAATGTGGAATGTCTGTAGGATCAACAACTGAAAAACATTCAGATAATCAAACAAAGAAACAAATCGACTGTGACTTGAGAATGGAAATAATTTCACTTCACATTTGTGCAAATGAGGGTTTTCTACCTAGGGATTTTGATGAAATTTCACAACTCAAGCACATTGACTCTTCAAAACCTTATCGATAACCACAATAAAGCACAAAGGTTTTTGGTAACCAAGTTTATTAATAAACAACATGAGGCTCTCTTTGCTCCTTTGGAGTACTTTCAGGTAGAAAAAGAAGGCAAACCCCAATGAAGTTTGTTCTGCCCACTGGATGAAAAAATTCAAAAGGCTAGTAATATCCAAAGCTAGAGAGCATGTGGGGAAATAAACACTCACCTACAGGGTTGGCGGAAACATCAACTTTGAGAAAATAGTTCAGCTAAGTTTTGAAATGTGAAGGGTGTACCAGCTTTTGATTCAGAAATTCTAATTCCAGAGGTTGTCCGTACAGAAACATACATATACACAGAAAAGCTGTCACTGCAGCTTTTGGGGGGTGGGGGGGCGAGGGGGAAGTCTAAGCATCCATCAGCAGATGAATAAATAAATGATGGTCCATCCATATTATGGAATATTATGCAATGCTTAAGAAAATGAAGTTGGCCTATGTGTATTGGCATATAGAGGTTGTGAATACATGTAAGCCAAAAGAAAAAAATCCAGTTTCCTAACAATACATATACTAGGACGTGGTAAGAAACAAGCAAAGCTCTAAATGTGCATACTTATTTATGTAGTGGTGAGTGAGAATGCACAAGAAAAAGCCTGGAAGGAAACCCACCAAGCCTCCACAGAAAGCAGTGTGATGGGGGAAAGGATAAACACAAGACACGTGTTTGTGTATTCCTAATGCAAGTAAATATATTTCTTCTAGCTAAGAAAACCAGAAGAGAAGGAGGGCCAAGACATCCAGGTTCTCCAGAAAGAGCTCCCAAATTGAGCTCAGAGGGAGGGAAGCTAACTAGGAGGTAAAGCCATCACTGGCTCAGCGGGAGGCCATCCCCCCGGCCCTGCCCTAAGCTAATTAAAGCACAAAGATTTCTGGTCACAGAGCCAAGAAACCAGCTTCCCAGCCATGGAGTAGGAACTCACTCAACTCACTCAAGCAAGTTGTGGAAAAAAATGTCAAAAGCAATGATGTGCAATGCATGATGGACAGAGAAGCCTAAATGTCATGAAAGAACTCCACATCCTCCAGCCTCCGGGGCCCTCCTTGCCACCACTGCCTGCCGTCCCCCCGTCCTTTATGTCCCAGAGAAACTAACCAGGAACCAGGATGCAGTGGGCACCAGCACTCCACTAACAAAGCACAGTGACTGCCAATGTTTGGGCTTCTTACATCACTGAAAGGGAAGGGCAAGTCACAAAAGGAACCATATCGACTTATGTAAGCCATGGCACAGAACACAAACTTCTCAGAGAAGAACGGCAAATTCACCAACTGCTAGGATTAACTGAAACCTCCCACAATTGCAGACTGCCCCAAAGCCTGACATCAGGGAGGCTGGAAATGCATCCAGCGTGAGCAGGGAGAGAGAAGGGGGAAGCAGACTGTGCAAGTGGTTTGGGTGCGAAGGAAATGAGCTGTGTATATAGTCGGAGCCCTGCTCCAAGGTCAAGTAAGCTCATAGAGTGGCCAGCCACATCCAAGGATCAGACCCCCATGCTCACGGGCTGCCCAGAGGTCCTGGGTGCCGGCCACAGGACCCAAGCACCCTGAGGATAACTGGCAGAACAGGCCAAGTACACAGGTAACGGCCAGCCAACCCCAGGCAGTAGTACCACTGCCCTCTGGGGTAATCTGAAGCTGGTCCAGGGATTGATTTAAAAAAAAAAAAGAAAAGAAAAAAATGCTGGTGACATACAGCCCTCCTGGAAGACTCCGCACCTCATTTGAAACCTAATGATTAACTGGTGGCCCAGACACAGGGGCACAGAATGGCAGACTGTTCCTGGTGTTGACATCACCACGGAAGAAAGGAGCAGAGAACACAGAGGCTGTGATAAATTGGGAACAAGGACAGAAATACACAAAGAGAAGCTTCTCCACACTTGCAGGAAAAGCAAACTGCACTGTTAGAGAGGATGGTGAAGGTTAGGCGTGTGGACGCATACAGGAGAAGGTCAGGGGCAGACAGGTTCTTGACTGCAGAGTAGTAGGCATTACCATCAAGGAACAAACAACAGAGTGATGGCAGAACCGTGCAGTGGCCCCACTGCTGAGCAGAGCCAACCTAATAAGATCTTCACCTACACAGTTCAGTCCTGGATGCCACCACTCAAGAAGAGTTAAAGTGCGACAAGGCTCTGGAAAACTCTAAAGATAATTCATTCAACAAACACTGAATGCTACTACATGCCAATAACGGGCCATGTGTATGGCTCTGCAGGCTGCACCCTGCCCAAGGCTGCCTGGCCAAGAGGACCTTCGGAGCCTGAAACCAGAACGTCAGGTTTTCTGGAAGCGCTGGATGAACCAGCTGCAGACTCCATCACAGCAGGGCAGGAGCTCTGAGGAAGGACACTAAGCCAGTGCAGAGAGATGGATGTAGAAAGAAAATACCTCAGGGAGGTAACGGTCATGCTGCATCCCAAAGGACGCACGATCCCTTTTACGTGAAGAAATGAGAGGGCACTCCAGAGAGGAAATGGCCGAAATCAAGGCATGGAGCCAATGACTGGCACCAGGTGGGCAGGACTTGGAATCAGCAGTTACTGAAGGATAAAGAGCGAAGAAGAGGATGGCCAGAAAGGACCCTGGAGAGATGGAGCAGAAAACCAATGGAATGGATTAAAAATATCATGTGAACAGGGCACCTGCGTGGCTCAGTCGGTTGAGGGTCTGACTTCGGCTCAGGTCATGATCTCACCGTTGGTGGATGCAAGCCCCGCATCGGGCTCTGTGCTGACAGCTCAGAGCCTGGAGCCTGCTTCAGATTCTGTCTCCCTCTCTCTCTGCCTCTCCCCTGCTCATGTGTTGTGTGCGTGCACGTGCACTCTTTCCCTCTCTCAAAAATAATAAAAACTATTTTTTAATTTTTAGAGATGTTTTAAAAATATGTGAACGGACTGGGAAAAATTCACACTGCATGTCCACATGGAGATTGTGATGGGTTACGAATAGTAGCTACTGAGTATATAAGGCACTCACAGGGGGAAAAAAGGCAGCTAGATTTTCTCCAACTCTCCCATGGGCAGAGGATGAGAAAAGGTGGCTTAAACCATGGCCCAAGATTTAAGTTAAACGGCAGGACAAACGTCCTGGTGCTGGTTACTGTCCTCTCGCAGAAGTGACCGTGAGAGCTTTTGGAAGTGCTTTCTCAAACAGCTAAGAAGATGACTTCATCGTGCCTGTGGTAAGTGGAGCAGACCAGGCCAGGAAAAGGAGGTGCAACAGTTGTGGCGCCATACTGTTTATCTGTACACTCAGCTCCTTCTTCCCTCCCTCCCCTCTCGCCATCGTTCTCTCCTGCTCTTCCTTCTACAGGCGCAACTCGTTTCACTGTGCTTCGCTCTAGTGAGCCTCAAGGATACCGCGGGTGGGTTTTTGGTTTTCCAAATGGAAGGGTTGTGGCAACGCTGCATTAAGCAGGTCCACTGGTACCTCCCTTCCAACAGCATTTGCTCATTTTATGTCTCTATGTCACATTTTGGTCATTCTCACAATATTTCAAACTTTTCATCATTACTGTATTTGTCATAGTGATCCGTGGTCAGCGATCACAAGTTGCTGGAAGCTCA